TCAGACTCGGATTAACATTAATATAAAATATTATATTTTTTTGATAAAACTTTTAGGTACTTCAAACTTGTACTACATACTTAAAAGTTTCTTAAAGAGCCTTACATTTACGTATCTCTGAAAGTAAAATACAAACTTCGTAAAAGTGAAAAATCGACGGGACGAAACAAAACTCTGTTCGAAAAACCGATAACGACGGGTATCAAAAATAACGAGGAAATTTAGACCCTCATCTTAAATTGTCACATAACATCGCTACGGGCTTGAATTTTTCATGTAAATTTTGCCGGCGGTGTGCAATGGGACACTTTGCACGTAAAGTATTACAAAATACTTTACGTATATTTGAGATTGAAATAATGATATTTATAGGGAGTAGGGAAGACGGAATTCCCTAAGCCATGGTACAAGAGAAATCATCATCCTTTTTTGATCTTTTGGCGTCCATTGGACGTCCGTTTTTCATTTCGTATTTCTATAAGATGTTAAATTATTAAAATGGTGCAAGTGTGGTCAAAGATGCACAACGTTTTTTAGGCACACTTGAAAAGTATGTTAAAATAATGAAATATGAGAGCGGATGTTTAACTTGTTCTTTTGCTTTTGCAATTAATAGAATATAACGTGTCAGTCACTATCACACATTTGGTGCAACATCATTGATTACAGTATGATAACACAATAATACAGTTTATATCTGACTGAAACCCGAAGTATATTTTTTATTTCTATTTATTTAATAACATTAATGGAAAAAATATTACATAAGTTCATAACTTCGCCAAACTGTAAAGAAAGTTTGTTGGCGAATAAATGCACTCATATGCTATTACATAATTAAATAAGTACTCAACCCATATAATATTACAAATAACTAGAAATTTAAAACACGAACAATATAAATTCCACACTCTATCAATTCCAAATACAACACCTCACCAACCTAACATTGCAACAAAATAAAAATTGTAAATATAACCCGGATATATTTTTTAAATATTACAAACAAATAATAGTTTCCTAAATGGTCATAAATCTAGCATTTTATCCAAAAAGTAATTCCCAAGTTTCTTTTTAATTGTTCATTTGCAATTTTTTAATTGTTAATTGACGACTCCGTGCCGCAGTGGCTTAGCAATGAGTGGCTGCGCTGGGGGTCGCGGGTTCGAATCTCCCACGGAACAAATATTTGTATGGCCTACAAATAGTTGTTACGGGTCTGGATGTTTGTCCTTGTGCAATTTATGTTTGTAAACTGCCCTATGATACAAGAGAAAATCTTAGTGTAACGTTTTTTTTAAAGAAAAAATAAATTAGGTCTATCTTGCCTTAGCCAATATATTTCATTAAGAAGCTTTGGTATTAAATATTGTGTGCATCTTTTACCATAGTAGTTTTTAACACTAGGCTGAAATAATTTCCCTTCTCTAACTTTCCTGGTTCTATATTTATTATCCAATTTTTCGCTATTATGGTTTTTATTGTTACGAGCTTAGGGTTCGCGACAATAAAAACTGCCGATTGAATTACCAAAAATGGCGCTGTTGGTCGAAAGAGTAGTCATGTCATTTTCTGGAAAGCTCTCCTCGCTCTGTTACCCGACACTACATGCCAGACGTCAACTTAGGCGCGCAACACTGCCCCCTCCTAAGACATGCTCGTCCCGAGCATTATCGGCCCCATAATAGCGCGCCAGGCGATCCATATGGACGATCTTAGGAGTCCCTCTTGCGCCTTTCTGTATCCGGTAGGTTACATCGTTGATCCTGGTCATGATCCGGTACGAGCCATCCCATTTAGCTTGAAGCTTAGGAGATTTCCCTTTGCTGCGGACTGGATTGTGCAACCACACTAGTGAACCTTCGTCGAACCCTTTGTTGTTCATTTTGCGGTCATACTGGGTTTTCATCTTTTTGGACATTTGCTGGCCCGATTGTCTGACGTGCTCATAAATGTTATTCATAATATATAAATGTTATGCATAATCGGTTATACTGCGTGGGGCATCAGGTGGTATCTCGGTGATCAGGTCTGCAGGCAGCCGTAATTCTCTTCCAAAGTTTGCGAACGCTGGTGTCACTGATGTAATTTCGTGCACAGCGTTTCGATATGACAATAAAAACGATTGTAATATTTGAGACACTTTTTTCCACTATTTCTAAAGTATTTTCATTCTCCTTTTCCTCTATTCCTATTATCTCAATCTTTTTCTCTTTTTCTTTTAATTCTAGATTTTGTAGCCTTTCTTCCAAAGCCTTATTGTATTTTTCAAGGTAAACATTTTTTTGCTCAAGTGCTTTCATCTTCTTCTCTGCTGTCTCTTTGAACTCCACCATTTCTTGATATTTTTCAGAATAAAAATCAATGAGTTCCAAAGCATTGTTCAACTTAGCTTCTATTTTATAAATCACATACACCTCTCTTTGTTAAGCCGTTGTTTTAGCGCACACTTATTGTGATAGACACTATCACAACTCCTCAAACACTTAATGACTTCATCTTTCGTCAGTGAAAGAAACAACTTACACTTTTTACGTTGCGACATTTTGTTTTACAAATGTCGTATTATAGGCAGGTACAATTAACACACGTCCTCACGCTGCCATTTACACATTTTATTATGTGCCAGCTACAGCTATTTGCAGCCAATATTTGTTATTTTTAGTTATAATTGAATTGTAACTAAAATAGACATAACAAGTTGCTTTCGGGTAAAACTAAATAAGATGCAAATAATAAATGACTCTAACACTAATTATCTTTGTCGAAAATAGAGGAAGATTTGTGTTGTTATATAAAAGTTGAATACAAGTGAATTTTAATTTTACGTTCATAAAGATGTGATTGCTTGGTGTTCTATTGCATTCTCTTATAGTTACCGTTAAACAGGTTTTTTTTAATGCATAGAATTGTTTAATTCCTCTTAATCCCAAGAGTATTTTCATGCTCTATGAAACAATATGGCGATCGCTGCAAATGCATTACTGCATTCAGATTCTTTGTTAAAAATCAATACCTATCTAATAATCATTCAGCATATCCACACTCGTGGCCGTCTGCAATCTTAATTTCAATTACACCGTAATTCAATTACGGATACACTGAAACCGTGCTTTGCCTTGAATTCTGTGAATTACAATCAAAATATTACTGACATTTCCAAATTGACCGCCTTTTGATCTCACATTATAGATACGGTTCCATATGATTGTAAAATAACACAGAAACCAATTTTTGCGACATAGGCATAACTATAATAATTCTTTTTTTTATTGACATTCATAGTTCACAATTTGAAATGGGTAGAAACCTGAGTCTCCTAGCTAGGTTACTGGGTATGCATCGATACACACTATTGCCATAACGAACTAATCCCGATCGTCATCGTCATCATTACATCCTATCCTGGTACACACCATACAGTGTACCGACACCATGCAATTTACATTTTGCTGATTATACGAGAATAGATGTAGGTGTATGTGGGCTACAACCTTTCTTTAAATCTTTATCAAAAGTAAATTTTTTGATTCATTTAAGTGGTATATCTTAAATTTTAAAGTAACAACTATAATGTCGTCTCAGCAGTTATATTAAAATTCATTCCCTATATACCCACTCTTAGGGGTAGATTTTTCTCTCCACATTAATATATGCTCATACCTAAAGTAACCTATTTAATAAAAAACATCTATCATTAATGAAATAACCATCGCTGGAAAGTTTTTAGTCGTTTTATTCACGTTCAGATTAATTTCTGCATTGGAACCAATTCAAGAACTTTTTCTAATTGTATTATTCGAATTTTACAACACTTGTATACTGCCCCCTATAGTAAAAAAGATTTATCTAACATTTTTTTTTTCAAAATTGATTTATATATATTGCGCGGATGAGGAAAAAAATTCGTACCATATATATATTTTGATATTTTTTTATTTCATTCAGTTTCGGATTTACCACAGAGAAGAAGGGCTCTTCTCTATTATCATTTGTACTTTAACTAATATAAAAAGACACCTTTTTATGGATGTAAAATGAAAAGACGTAATTGAAAAGATGGGTATAATCTTTCAATGAAAACTACAGCTATGATCGATAAGTAAAAGGCGCATCTATTCATTACGTTCCGCGTGTGACAATGAAAAGACGTAACTGACTATTACGCTTTTCAATTCATTTGAAAATTAAGGCTTATATTACGAGAAAGTGACCTATTTACCACTTGTTTATTTTCAATTTAGTACACCACTTCTTCCAATAGACCTATGTGGTAGATGCATTTAATTTTCCTACGAAACTAAATTATATATCAATCAATACCTAATAAAAAAATCACTACATTTACTACTTCGTTTAACTATATGCAACGCGAGGAGGAGGGAAATGTTCGTGTACGCTGTAGTTGCGCCTGAACAGCTGTCAGTCTGGCGGTAGCGTCATCGTCGGTAGCAGCATCGTCAAGTGTGAGCAATATTTTTGAGTGCGGAGGATTTTAACAGGTAATGATAATTTAAAACTAAGTTACTGTATTCTTTTAGGTATTTAATTAAATTTAAACAACCATTAAGTACTTATTTCAGTGCTTCATCTTTTTAGTCCTTATAAATATTATGTTGAATATATGAATTTATCTAATTTTATCAAATATTTTTGTTTATGGCAAATGTTTAGTTTAGTTGCATTAAAAATTCAACTAAATGTGTGTTTTGTAATACCTATATATCCAAATAATGTGGGTAGTTTTATATATTTTATTGGGATGGTGAACGTGTTATTATATAACTTATATCTACTTAGTATGCTTTTTGTTTTGGTTTGCTTTCATGCTTTAGATAAATAATGTATTTTCTTTTAGATGAAACTAAAGATGAAGAAGACGGATCGTGGTTATGGCCTAATTTCAAGGGCATTATCGAACACTTTAAAGCTAAGAAATTTGGCTACTGATAGATAATTTTGGTACCAGTGAGCATACTCGTTGCAGCTCTAACTCCACCATGGACGACTTCCGTGCAGGTCCGGTCAATGAAGCTTGTTGTGGCACTAGTACCCCCAACGGCAGCATTAACGTCAGTCCCATCGATCAAGCATATTATAGCATTACTACCATCAACGACAACATTGGTGATGACAGAAATGACAACAATCTTAAAGAAAACTGCACCGATTGTGGTAGCAGCAGTTCACCTTCAGGAACTGAATTTGATTTGGATAATTAGGTTAAAGACAAAAATTATGTGCGAACTCAAAAAAAGAAGACAGGATATACGCAACTACTTGACTCCGACTCTGAAAACGATGCCATACAGTCTACACAGACACTGAATACCGTTCGTATATCCAAGTCATCAGCTAAGCCGGAGTCAAGCATTCAGGAAAACCAAAACCTTGAAATTTAACTTACCAAGAAAGGAACGATAAGAAAACGAAAAGTCGTTATGAAACAAAACTAGTTGAACGAAAAAAATTATGAAAGGCTTAAAAATGAATCCAAATCCTACGTGATGTGTGTGTGTATTGTGATCAAAATTGTAAAATAAATGTTCACTAAACTTTAGTAAAGTCAAAGAAGCTCATTAAATAAATTGTTTCGTAATATGATTTGAAAGGAACAAAGATATTTCATCACAGGTAACACGTCTCAGAAGAATCCAGCTAGACGTGAAACTAATAGTATAGACCCGAGACGTTTTAAGTCTGTTTATTATTACTTCATGAAAATAAACGGGGATAAGTCAGTATTTGCGAAGGTTTTTTTGACTACTCTAGGATTTAATAAGTCCAACGATAAAGCTGTTTGAAATATTATTAAGTCTGTGGACCACGAAGAACCAAAAGACAAGAGAGGCCCAAACCCTTATCCTTAAAAGATAGATAACACGAATATATTTGAGCACATTAATTTATTTCTTCCTGCCCTATCACATTACAGACGAGAACGTGCATCTAACAGAAAAAAATTACGCTCATATATAAATATGCGGGACATGTACAATGATTTTCGTGCGAAATATAATAAGTGCAACAAATCGATCCTACTCAAGAATGTACTTTATCCTATAATCACTATCGAAAAGTTGTTAAATCACTGAACATACCTCTTGAAAAATTGGGCAATGCGGAGTTTGATACATGTGAAAAATATAAATTTCGCAACCCTAATCCCGAAATAAGACATCGTTCCTGCAATGAGTGTTTAAGTTACAAAAATCATTACAAACGTTACACTCTGCCAAGAGAAAAGTATAATGTGGGATGAGGAAACTTCAAATGACTATTAGCACAGTACAGTAACATTATGTACTACTCCACTGACTTGAAAAAGGTGACCATGCTTCGAATTTACACTTTCAAAACAGTGATGTATTGCCCGAGGCTGATAGCTTTCAATAAAAGTTTCGTTTCTCTTGGTGTTAAAAAAGTAGAAGCTCGAGAGAGACACTGACATGCAATAGCACGAAGCTATGAAGGCCGAAAGAAAGTTGATATTGCCAGCTATTTTCGGGCGTTCTTTTTGTATAACCGAGGTGTGAAAAATATCGAAACTGCGCCGCAAAGAATCAAAATTGGAGCTTAATTTGATAACTTCTTCATTTTTACTAAATTCTACACACGTTAACCTAGAAAAAATCACCCTCAGATACATTGAAGTTGGGAATATTTTCATGTTCGCAGATGAGTTTCACCACCAGGTTGAACTTTCAATGAAGCGAAAGAAAATAATCTATGAGTTCGAGGATATCCTTCGTGTGGTGGCGGAAATACATTGTAAGATAACTGTGAAAGAAATGTATGTCAGTGACTTTTATACATTTGAGAATTACTCATCTTCATATAAGTTGCTATATGTTTTACGGCTTTACTATTTACGAGGTTCTAAACAATTTTTTTTTTGCTAAAAGAAACATAAACAAATATTGTCAGTAATAAAATATCATAATACTAAATTAAGAGGAGATATAAGCCGAAAAATGGTACATTCAGAGAATAACGATTGATGCCATAATTAAATCACAGCACGCCAGATCTAACGCCAGAGTTAACTAAGGCTAAAGAAGCTAAAGTCTAATTATTTTGTTACAATCTACGCAAAAAGAGCTTGCAATAATTAAAATTCTTGAAGTAGAGGATTTGAATTTTTTTTAATATTATTTTTGAGCATGTATTTTAAATCATCAGATACATCTATTTACGGCGAGTTACATTGTATACAATATCGTATAACTGAAAAAGAGATCAGGAAGATGAACGATTTGCTTACTATATGAATATTTCAGAAAGCACATTAAGGACACAGAAAAATAAATATGCTTGACTACTCCGGACGCATTTGTTTATAAATCGTAGAGCTTCGGACGTGCGAGGTTTACGGAATACGGTACCAATATTGTGTAACAGCAATAAAGTTAACTAAAATCCCTTAAACTATTCCTTGAACCAACATTTGATTTTTAATTTATTTTATTTTATTGCATAAATAACATTTTATATAAAATATTTTAGCCACAGCATTATTCATTCATCATCAACAACAACATTATCACTCATACATCAACATAAATACATACAACATTATCGATATCATTGCGATAATTTTAGTATAGTGAAAGTAGTATTAATTTTATATATCTTCAAGGTAATAATAACGCGTGGCAAACACCTGATAAAGCTACTCTGCAGCTATATAATGGTTGCAGCACGAATGGAACGGCGCGACAGGGGAAGGACACGGTATCATAGATTATCAGGGTAAAATTGCAGCCTAATGCTGCTGTGTTTGTATATAGAATGTAAAGAACCGTAGACCATTTTACTAGAAACAAAACATTAGATTTTAGCCCTTAGGGATGAAAACGCATCTGCATTTTAATTATTTTTTTTTAATCAAGGAAGGATGTAGATGTTTATAGACCACAGTGTCTTCTTACTATCTCATTTACTGTGTATGTCTGTGTTACCCTCACACTATAAAATAAAATACAAACTAAAGTTAATGTAAACATTTAGTTACAGCCTAAATATATTCTTCTGCTTGGTACGCAGAAATAACGAATTTTTCAATATTATGTGTATTGTTGTCATACTTATCTTTTTAAAGACAGGCTCTAAAATATTATCTCTAAATAGAAAAATATCTTATCCAGAACAGAGATCTTTAACATTGAAATTACTAATGAAATGCAAAAAAATAATCCAAAAGTTAAAAAGACACTTACTATTTTGTTAAGGAGTAGACTTTCTATTTTGATGACGTAAGCTTAAATCTGTGATCAAACCACCTACATTTATTTCCAAAAATATGTTTGCAGATAAGATCGAAGGAAAGTGAAAATGATTCTATAAAAAATATAGCTGTTGCTTTTCAAGTTTCATTTTAAATAAAATTCAAACGTTTTTTGTCGTAAAATTAACTTATTACGTTACTAACATTAGCTTTCTTACTTTAGCTTTTAATTAAACGTGTTGTTGTAAATAATTTAGAATTTTAGAAAATCAACTGCATATTGAATTGTTTTATTGTTACAATTATTATCATACCGACCGTACAGAGAAGCCCTACAGCTATCCGCCACGCCTCAATTCTCTCGGGTGTCGTATAAGGCAACGATGCCATTAAACTTTGGGCACAATAAACTGTGACACATTCTGCTTTTATGAACACTGTAAACGAAATATTACTTATTTATCCAAAATTTTGAGCACGTTAGCTATAAAGAACTGTTATTTTTTTTAAAATGTCATACTATATTGAAACTTTAGAACTTTACCCCAAGGATTTAATATTATCATTTCATTATTTATTGATTTGAGTTGCAGCCTAATATAGTTGACTATTCCAGCTATACTAATATAATGAAGCCGAAGATTTATTTTTGGATATTTTGTTTGTTTAAACACGCTAATCTCTAAAACCACCACTCCGATTTGAAAAATTATTTTTGTATATTATAACCAGACTTATGGGGAATAGTACAGGCTGTCTAGCATTAGACTACACTTCTCGGCTAGCCTTAACAAATATTGATTTTTGTTAAGCATGTTAGAAGAAAAGGCGCCCCCCGAAGTGATTTATCAGCGTGCGTTGGTGTGTTGGTTTGTAATACGTAAATACAATTTTCTACAAAATAGATCTCTACTTCATCTAAAATAAGTCCGTAATATATCTTATACATAAGTCATAATACATAAGTATAAGGTATTTTATAACAAAAAAAATATTGAAAATTGAAAAGTGATATTGGAGCGTTATTATTAGGCATGAAATATTAATCCTTACGAACTAAAATTACTTCATTATCTTTACTTTCATAACGTCTACTTTATAGCATATTACTTATACGCATAGTTTAAGAGATAATAAAAATTTAAAAAAACAATTAAACGGTCGGCTCGGCGCGCGAACGACTCATAAACGCCACCCGTCTGATGAGAAACGAGAGAAATCAGCAGTGGACGCTTCTATTAATTCAATAATTCTATATTATTCATTAAAAGTGTGTAAAATTAATGGAGTACTTTTATCTATCGGCATATGTACGTTATAGAGTGAATTTAAATTTTATCCGTTCTCCCTCCCCCTTTCGAGAGAGCGTCACCCCTCCGCACTTCAGAAAATGTTTAAAACCTCGGTATTTAAAGTAAATCAATCATACACGATACGTGAAAAAAGTGAGTACAAAATGATCCTTTATAAATTTTTATGTATCTCCTATATATGCCAAAGCGAAATCAACCATAGTTTCGGCGCAACCTACCAAGAAATATGAAATTTTTTTATATTTTTTTGCTTTAAATTGAGTTTTATCAAAACTTTCTAACGTAATTGCCAATATATGTGTGACTAAAGAAAGGAATGAATATGCTCTTTGAGTAAGAGGTGTAATTTATTTCTAAACTCTTTCATTTCACATTGCTATGTTATTTTGAAAATATAATTCATTTGGCCATTCAGCGAAATATAAATATTTGTATATTAGCTAAAAATTTACAAAATTAATAAAATGGAGAAGTAGAGATCTTCTTAACGAGCATATTCTATTTTTTAATATCGTCTACATATCTTGGCGATAAAGAGGGAATTTTTTGAGAAAACTAAACTTTGAGCAAGAAGAAAATCGATAAATTATAAAAAAAAATCATAATTCTTGGCAGGTTGCGGGGACACTATAAGTGATATCATTTTTGTACGGATAAGAGGCTGACAGCAAATTTATCAGGA